TTACACTGACCTTATCCATCCAACAGTGGGCCATTTCTGTTTTTCATAATGGCTCCTTTATTTCCTCAGTTCTACACTAGCCCAGCAAGATCATAAAGCAGTGATGTCATTCCCTTAGACTATGACATCAACTACTCCACACCCACTGGAAGCTTTCTCAGGGATCACACAATTCTGCCACTTCTAATTTTCAGTGTTTTACTTTGTTCATTTCTTCATTACATACCCATCCATATTTTTAATACCCAAATCATCTTATAAATTGTAAGAGTTTAGAAATAAGATGCCATTACCAAACAAGGTCCCACATCTGTGACAGGCCTTTTCTGGAGCTGTCCTCACCCTGCAGCACATATTGCCTCCTAAAATACCGAATGCCCCCCAAATTCATAAATTGCTTCAGATTTGGCTATTTCATCAAGTGTTTCAGCCTAGTGGTGTTTTAGATAGATTGACGTACCTGTTTTATTGCCCTGTTTCCCTGAAAAGAAGACCTCCTGGGATAACAACCCCAATCGGGCTTTTGAGTGCATGCGCTAAAATAAGCCCTCCCCGAAAACATTGCAACACATCATAAGAGCCGAGGTGGCACAGTGATTAGAGTGCAGTACTGCAGCCACTTCAGCTGACTGCTAAGCTGCAGTTCAGCGGTTCAAATCTCACCGGCTCAAGGTTGACTCAGCCTTCCATCCTTCCGAGGTGGGTGAAATGAGGACCACACTGTGGGGGCAATATGCTGACTCTGTAAACCACTTAGAGAGGGCTGAAAGCCCTATGAAGCGGTATATAAGTCTAACTGCTATTGCTACATCAGCAGCCCTGAGGTGACCACACTCGCCACCTCCTGCACCTCAAATATAAGAAGACCTCCCTGAAAATAAGGCCAAGTGTTTACTATTGGGGGGGGGGGCAAAAGAAAACAAGACCGTCTTATTTTCAGGGAAACACAGTGTATGTACTTTTTTATTTTGTAAATTGCCTCGAGTCCATTAGAAATTGGAATTTGTGAGAAATTCAGATAGGTGGTGAAATGTATAATTTAAAAAATCCTAAAGCACAAGCAGCACAGAAGAGCACCAGGCGCTAATGGCTTGTTTAGTGACTATCTTGTACCACAAAAGTTCGCAATTACAAGAATGATTAAAAGTAACTTTGCATTGATGACCTCTGAAATTCTGTAAAACAAAGGAAACTGAAGTAAGCTCATATGCAGTGTCACACTTTCACTTAGTGACTGCTTTGCTTAATGACACAACTGCTAGTCCTAATTGTGGTGGCTAAGCGAGGACTATCTGTATGTTGTATGCTTTATTCTTGACCACTATGTACATTAATGTTTGGTTATTGTAATTGCTTTTACTTTATTTTTTGATCAGAATCATTTGTTGAGATGGATGGCCATACAAATTGAATCTAAGAATGAACAAATGAAGGAATAACAGAATTGAAAGGGACCTTGGAGGTCTTCTTAACAGCAGATAAAGACATTTATAGAGAGAGCAGCAAGGGGAGTGTGTAACATTTTTAACTTTTTAGCTGAAGTGCCCATGGAATAAAAAATGTCTTATGTCACATGATTGGATCCACATACCTACTGTAAATTGCACCACCTAGATAATCTTGGCTGATCTTAAACTAAGCAGGACCTGGTTAGGATCAAGCTCGGATGGGAAACCAGGATACGTCAGATCTGTAAGATAATGGAAAAACAACCAGAGAGAATGTAGCAGCAAATCTCTTTACTGACTATTGCAAGAAAATGACCCCAGGAGTCAGGATTAATTTATGAGGGTCTTTACTTAAAATCCACTTTCTAGCTATTCTTAGAAGTTTGACTCCCCCGCAAAAGCTTTCTGAAATTGAAGGCAACTTTTTAAAAGTTGAAAGCCAGCTCCACTAGCTGCTAGTTTGCTTCCCAGTTCAATACAAAGTGCTGGGGGTCTTTCATATCTTACACAATATGGAGCCCAGTGATTTGAGGAACCGCCTCTCACTGGTTACTCTACCTATCTAGCAGGAGGGACGGGTTATAGCAGGGGTGTCAAACTCAAAGGCCCGGGGAGGGGGGGGGGAGATCCTGCCTGCGGGGAACTTAGATCCAGCCCATGGGGCCGCCCTGGAAAGAGCAAAGGACTGGCCCACGGTGCCTCTAACAGAGAAAATGGGCTCCCAATCTCTGTTTTCGGCTGATATGGCCTTCTGAAACCCTCTGCCAGCAAAAATGGAGCTCATGTGGCCCTTGCAAGCTATTTTTTCTGGCAGAGGGTTGCAGGCCGTCCCAGCCAAAAACGGCACTCAGGAGCCTGTTTTCTCCGGCAGAGCACTTGGGCCACCGCAGGTGCTCCTGACACAAGTGACATGCCCATCCTGGCCCCCCGAAATCAAACACAACCCTGATGGAGCCCTCAATGAAATCAAGTTTGACAGCCCTGTGTTATAGGTTCTGTCTACTGACGGGACCCAGGAGTTTTTGGGGTGTGTGGCACTTACCCTTTGAAACAATATCCTCCCCCGCAGGTGAGAATGGCCCTGACGATACTGACCTGCCAGAAGGTCCTCATAACCTGGTTTTGCCATTGGTCCTAGGAATCCCATAGAAATACCGAGCCCACAAAATGGCTTTATTGTATGTAGGATTGTGATTGCATTCTCCCATGTGTTTCGCTCCAGAGGCTTTATAGGAGCCTGAGAAGGGCAAAAAGAGCCTCCCCGCCCCCTGTCCCGGGGGTCCTCCGGAGGCTTCATGAGCTTCCCTGAAGCCTCCGGAGCGCAAAAAACCCCGCCCTACGGGCAAACCGGAAATTCAGGAACAGACTTCCGATTTGCTCCGAGGGTAATTTTGACTGCTCCGGAGGCTATTGCCATTAGGAAATTTCTCCTTAGTTCTAGGGTGCTCCACTCCTTGGTTAGTTTCCATCCATTGTTTCTTGTCTTACCTTTTGGTACTTTGGAAAATAGATAGACCCCCCCCCCCATCTTTGTAGAAGCAACTCAAATATTGGAACAATGCTATCATGTCTCCTCTAGTCCTTCTTTTCATTAGACTAGACATACCCAATTCTTGTAACATTCTTCCATGTTTTAGCCTCCAAGCCCCCAATCATTTTGTTGCTCTTCTCTGCACTCTTTCCAGAGTCTCAACATCTGTTTTATATTGTGCTGACTAGAACTGGGTGCAGTATTCTAACTGTGGACTTACCAAGGCTTTGTAAAGTGGTACTAGAACTTCACCCGCTCTTGATTCTATCCTTCCATTTAGACCAGGGGTCTCCAACCTTGTGGAGTTCAATTCACAGAATTCCTCAGCCAGCAAAGCTACCCATGAGATGGGCAGCTATAAATTCAAGGAAGGAGTCACTGGAAAAGAGGCAAATGCTGGGAACAATTGAGGGCAAAAGAAGAAGGGAACGACAGAGAATAAGGTGGCTGGATGGAGTCACCAAAGCAGTAAGCATGAGCTTGAATGGACTCCAAAGGATGGTAGAGGACGGGAAAGCCTGGAGGAACATTGTTAATGGGGTCGCAATGGGTCAGACACAACTTAGCAACTAATAACAACATAAATTCAACAAATAAATGTTTATAACCATCTTGGTAACTATGATCACCAAACAGCTTGACGAAATCCATTCAGGAAAGTTAGTACAGGGGTGGCACTCCAACCTAGGGAGACCCTTCCCAAATGCCAGGGATTTGGGCATGCCAAAGCAACCTCTGGATGCTTTTTCAGGAATCCTACCTCCCTGCATCGGCCCTGGAAAGAGAATTCATGGCAGTTTCTCTTCAACTGGCACTTTGATGGATTTATAAAAGGGTGCTTAAACCTTAAACTTTCCAGTTGCAAGGTAAGGCTGTGAAAGTTGGACCATAAGAAAGGCTGAGTGCCAAAGAATTGAGGCCTTTGGGCTATGGTGCTGGAGAAGACTCCTGCGAGTCCCTTGAACTGCAAGGCCATCAAATGGGTCAGTCTTAGAGGAGATCAACCCTGACTGCTCTTTAGAAGGCCAGATCCTGAAGATGAAACTCAAGTACTTTGGCCACCTAAAGAGAAGGAAGGACTCACTGGAGAAGAGCCTATTGCTGGGAATGACTGGGGGCAAAAGAAGAAGGGGATGACAGAGAATGAGGTGGCCGGATGGAGTCACTAAAGCAGTAGGTAAGCGCTTAAATGGACTCCAGAGGATGGCACAGGACAGGAAGGCCTGGAGGAACGTTGTCCATCATGGGGTCACGATGGGCAGGACACAACAACTAACAACAACAAAACCATCTACTAGGAATGTTAATTGCACCAAAGGGGATTAAGGGGTCAAAGGGGTCACGATTCAAATCCCCACTGGACCATGGGGCTCATGAGATGATCTTCCCAGCACCAGGCACCATATCAATTTATATCATCATCATCATCATTCTGAGATTTGTTCATTTTGCCCAGCACCGGCCTACCTCACAGTGTCGTTATGAGGATACCATGAAGAGTTACCCCTGCTTCGGGCTCCTTCTAAAGTCTGATGGAGGATTAAATCAGTTAATCATACCTAAAACGAAACAGGCTAAAGACCTCACAACAAGCCGGCCATTCCCGCCTCCACGGCCCTGCCTGCCTTAAGCTTAGCACAAAGAGGAGGTGACACGCGCTTGCAGCCACCAAGCGACAGTCCCATTTTCCCAGCGCAGAGCGCATCCTTTCTCTTCCCCCCACTCGAGATCCCCCGCACGCGGAGACGGGCTGGGTGTACTTTACACATGCTCAGACGCTCCCTCTGCCTCCCAGGCAGCAGAGCCCCCTCCCCTTTGTCTGCTCTCCTCCTTTGAGAGGAGGGGGCTGCCCAGCACGTGCAATTAACGCCCTCCTTCGCCGCCGCCTGCGCCGACTTTCTGCCGCGCCCACCCTCCTCCCCAGCCGAAACAACGGAAGCTCGGCGGAGGCGGCCCCTTTAAGAGCGGCGGGGCCGCCCTCTGGCGGTCTGCGGCGGCGGTGCAGGTGCAGGTGCAGGATCCCGCTCCTCCAGGTGCGGCCGCTCCGTCTGCTCCGTCCACATCATGGAGCGCGATCGGGGCCCGCGGGCCTCGGCGGTCGATCTGGGCTTCGGGGCGCTCAGCACGGCGCAACTCCGCGCCCTCATGCGGGACGAAACCTGGCTCGAGCGCATCGTCAAGCTGAGCAGGAAGGTAAAGCCGCGGCTCCCGGGTTGGAAGCCCAGGAGGAGAGAGGATCGGGCCCTCCGGAGGGGAGAGAGAGAGAGAGAGGTGGGAGGGTGGCATCCTGCTTTCCAGCGGGGTCTTCTGCTGCACGCACCCGCGGCTTGCTTTACTCCGACCCCAGCAGCCATCACTCTCCATCCAAATACAAAGACCGCCCCCGCCCCCTTGGAAAATAATCCGAGCATACAAAGGGGCATCGATGCCCGCCGAAAGTGCCCGTGGCATCCCTGGGGCTGTGCCACCCGACCCCCTTTTGCAGCAAATGCAGCTCTGGTTGCCAGGGGGGCTGGGAGTCTGGCAGGGGAGAGGGGATAGTGCCAGTCCAGCCAGGCCTGTGCTTGGTGCCAGAAACAATGCCCAGACCTTCGGCCTTTTCACAGAAGCTCTTGGCCCAAATGCACAAGACTCAGAAGAGGAGAGCTGGGCCCCAAGCGGGGAGGCCCTCTTGCCCCAACTGTTGGCTATGCCCTTGGAAGATCTACCCCCTTCTCATCCCATTCTACTAGCTCCGGGGATTACAAGACGCCCCGTATCTCCCTGCCCCAACCTCTAAAAGCTGCCCCTGGGATCCAGTTTGAACCGAGGTGTTCTGCTACCTCTCCAGCCCCCAGAGATGCTATAGGCCCCTTTGTGGACTGTTGTCAGATTTTGGTCTTCTCCACCCACCTGTCACTCAGCTCCCCTCCTTTCCCTGAAAAGCAGTCTCTCTCCCCCACCCCCCAAACATTCTTTGAAATACACCCCGTTTATTATGCCAGAAGAAATGCCGAGGAGAAGCAGCATCCATTTGTTTGGGGTCCTGGAGATGGAGTCATCCAGGGAGGGTGTGGGTGTGATGGTTTAGTGGGAGGGGGGATGCTCCCAAGGCCTCAGTGCTTTTGTCTTCGCAGGATAGATCCATCCTGGACCAGACCCTCCCTTCCCTCTTTTTCTCTGGCGAAAATCAGCCACAATGGTGACCACAAAGCCCTGTTTTGTTTCTCTGTGCTGAAAAGAAAGGGATTTCTTTTCCCGAGATCCAGCAAAGCCTCATTGACTCAGCCATGGAAACACGGGCGGGGGTTGGGGTGGGGGGGGTGTTGACTGTGTCTAGCCAGGCAGGCAACATGTCTTGTGCTGGGCAACAGAGAAAGGTTGCCGAATTAAGTGCCACAGCATGTCAGGCATTTTCATCATAAATGGCGTATGATTTTTGCCTTTCGACAGGCGTGGAAACAAAGCAGAGCCTCCCTCCTTCTTTCCCTTATTTATTTGGCATCCACCTAACTTCCTCCTTGCACGCCCCCCACCCCAATTGCAGGAATTCCCCACCCCTTTTTGTGCTCCCCCCCCCCCAGACCTTCATTGGAATCTGCTCCTGGTCTCACAGTTGCAACGTCACACATGTTGTCATCCATCCTCACAAGGAGACGTTGAGGCTGTTGATTTTGGAAAGGCACCTTCTCTGCCTTCTCTCCAACAATGGCCAGAAAAACAGCCTCACTTTTACAAGATCTTTGTCAGTTCGGCTAAGCTGGGTACTCTTAGCTTCCTGCCCTTGGTGTGCTCTCCAGGCAATGCCTTGATACCAAATCCTTAACCGGGTCAATTAGAAGACTTAGCAGCTGCTCTCAATCGTTGGGCTAATTGTGGTTAATTTTAATCTCGGTCTTTTGTTGCTTGGTATGTTGTGTGAACCCAGCCTGTTTGGAGAGTTATGGTTCAGTCTCCTATTCAAACCAGAGTGGGTTAATTTAGTTACCAAGACAGCGTACAGTATTGTGTGAACAGGGGTATTGAGTTGCTAAATCTCACATGGAGCCCAGTGCCCTCTGAAAAATTGCCCATCAAGATAGTCAAGTCCTTTCCCCATAGTTTACCATCCCCAATGGCCCCCATAATTCTAACTAAGATGGTCCAATAAATACATTTGTCTTCCCCAAATATGAGCTCAAATGAAGTACAAGATAAACCACAAAAATTATATAGTATGTTTACTAGAAGACCATCCCAAAATGTTACCTTTTAAGCTTAGGACAATTTGTCATAGTTTCAAGACTCCCATAGACTCACAGTTTGGTTTACCAAGTCAAGAAATAGTAAATATTTATCAAGTCAGTAAATAGTAACTTTTGCTTGAAGGGTTGTACTCCCCCAAAATACCTGATGCATAATTGAGATTGGGGGGGGGGATCTATGTATTCTCCAAAGCACCTGAAAGCAGGACAAGAAGCAATGAATGGAAACTAATCAAGGACAGAAGCAACCTAGAACTAAGGAGAAATTTCCTGACAGGTAGAACAATTAATCAGTGGAACAACTTGCTTCCAGAAGTTGAGGCTGCTCTCACACTGGAGTTTTTAAGAAGAGATTGGACAACCATTTGTCTGAAATGGTATAAAGTTTCCTCCTTGAGGAGGGGGTTGGACTAGAAGACCTCCAAGGTCCCTTCCAATTCTGTTGTTATTCTGGTTTGCTCAGAGGTTTGATAAGGACAGTAGCTCTAGATTACGAATAACCTTTTGGCAGCTTCTCAGTGGCTCTATGCTTACTGTAGAGGAAGCCACATTTAGTGGTTGAATCAGAGGTGGGTTGCTCCCGGTTCGGCCCGGTTCAGCCGAACCAGTAGTGTTATTTTGGCCTGGATCGCAGAACCGGCAGTGACCCAGGCTGGCCACGCCCCCAAACCAGTTCCCCTGGTTGCTGGCATGTTGTTTAGTAGTGCACACACATGCACAGTACATTGTAAATTGTTCTTCGCGCATGTGCAGTTTACATTGAATTGCACACGCATGCGCAGCACACACAAAGCACACACAAAGCGAACTGGTAGTAAAACCAGGAGCAACCCACCTCTAGATTGAATGCCAATTGTTGACAGAGAATACGCTGACCATGCTCCTTAGATATTTTCTTTCATGAAAAGGGTTTGGAGTTAGCTAGTATGGAGTAACTTCTCAAGGGCCCATGTTATTAGGGGAGGCCTAAAGAGCGTCTGGCAGTGGGAAGATGCTGCCGGATTGTGACAGCTAAGGGCTGGCAATACTTATTTTTCAATCAACTGATTAATGGGGAAAAGACAGCGCTAATAAGTACCATTTTGCAGCCTGTACATTGTTTTGTGATAAAAAGGCATGTACAACTTTTTAAAAAACTGGGCCTTATTAAAAAATACAAACATGACTAGATCTATAAATTAATGTGTACCAGAGATGGGTTGCTCCCGGTTCGGCCCGGTTCAGCCGAACCAGTAGTTAAATTCAGGCCTGGGTTGTGGAACCAGTTCCCTCGCTGCTCCTGAGCTTCCGCCATTTTGGTTTTTCGTGATTGCGCGTGCGCAGTTCACTGTAAATTGTTCTGTGCATGCGTGAAGAACAATTTACATTGAACATCGCACACACGCATTGCGAACCAGTAGCAAACCCGGCAGTAACCCACTCCTGATGTGTACATTCCGTTGGCTTATACATCTGTCAAAAGTGTTGTGTTTGAAAAATTATAAAAACTTTAAAAATCAGGGGGAAAATCTGGGTCCAATCTCAAATATTAATGTTTGGATTTAACAGGAAAAAAAATGACTTCCCCTCAAGTCTTTAATATGGAGTATTAGTTGAACTCCCAGAATGAAAGTGTGGCATAATGCCCACTGATTGCATTCGCACAACACGCTAACACTTTTTTTTCCTGGGTTTGTACAATACATGAAATCTCACAGAAAATCCCTAACCAAGATTAAAATTAAATCAAGCTTGCAAATTATGCCCATACAGCCACCAGGATTTTAAATGACTCTCTTCACTAAGTTGTATGAGTGGTTCTCTCATCTAATCCTTTTAGAGTTATTTTTTTCTACTCATAGGTACAAGATCCTTCTAAGATAGGTAAGAATTTTAGCTCAGGCTGAAAGTTGGTCTTTCGCCTAAAGTGGTCATTTTGTGGAGATTAAAATCCATGACTTCGGGGCACAACACTCTTTAGGCCTGTTTATATTGGTGGCAGAAGTTGCAGTTGCTAAATAATTAGACTTATTTTAGGCATCTATTCAGACCAGCTTAATAGGTCCATTCACATTAGTTTTGTTTTTTTAACTTGGTTACCAAGTTAATCCATTGTCTGGTTTGAGCAACACTCCGAATCATTAACTAACCACACGGTTCACTGGGTTAACATTATCAAACTTTGTATGCTGCATCCAGGCAGCCTTACTATGACCTGCTTCAGCATGTTGTCTGAACACAGCTATTGAACTTCCTATGGCATATATTCACCACAATATATCGCTCCAGGCTCCAAGCAGTTTCTTTTACTGTTTTGTACTGAATCAGCCCAAATCACTTGGTAACGAAAAATGTAATTTGTATCTTCAGATTGTATTGTCAAATACTATATCTTTACTGCATTGGCTCAAATATATTTTGAATCTCAAATGATGTTGGTGGTGCTAAAGATGGCGGGGATGCTAGCAAAACCATCACTAGGCATAGTGCATAAAAATATACCCTTATAAACAGATAAACCCAGACAAGAGTACAGACAGCAAAGCAGAGATTAAAGAAAAAAAAGTAATTCAAATGAGGATGATAAGTTGCCAGATACAGAAGAAGTCAGGTTCTAAAGATCTGTGGAACAGTAACTTGGGGGAAAACATTGAGAAAAACAGCAAATCAAACTAGATTGCTAGGGGAGGGGTGTGTGCCAAATAGGCATGTTATTTTAACAGGGAAAACAGCTTTCCCTGTTTGGGTGAGAAATCCAAATCTTGTTCTTCATGCATTCATGGGAAAACCCTGTACTGTATGTCCAGGATAGCCATGTAGAACCCAAAGAAACTCTGACATGCTGAACAGATAAGCATACACAGACCTTTCAGCCTGGCCCAGATGCTCATTAAATATGTGTCTTTTCAGTTCCAGAACCTGCAGCTGGAGCGGGAGGTGCACCTAGCTTCCAACTATAACCTCGCCAAGCAAAATTTGGGCTTGCAGCCTCGGCTAGAGAATGGCAAAGCTTCCCTCGCTATCAAATACCAGGAGTTGCAGGAGCTGCGGGAAACCTGTCACGACAAACAGCAGCGCTTGGGTGAGCAACAGTTGGTGTCTTCCTTTCTCCCCCTAACCCTACCTAGAGTAGAGGCCAAAGTAGGACTATTGGATCTGGGCTGCCTTAACTAGATCGGCCTTTCTCAACATTGATTGCTGGTTAGGGAATTCTGGGAGTTGAAGTCCATCCAACTTAAAGTTGCCAAAGTTGAGAAACTCTGTTCTAGATGATCAAGCAAAGGGCAAAACATTTGTTAGTGGTCTGGACTTTTGCAGGTCTGAGAGCATCTTTAAGCAAAAGGGCTTCTTCATTCATGACAGGTCTATGAAAATTCGCCAAGGCCAACTCTCCTTGGCCAACTCACCACACAAGTCATCATGGCCAATTCACGGCAAGACAAGAGTTACACTAATAACAAAGAAATGGTGGAATAGAATTATTTTTCAAAAGGGTGCAAAAGGAGAAACAATGAAATGTGAATGGAAAAAATAAAATAAAAAATATTTTAAATAATTAAATAGAATGGTTAAATTGTCCCACAAACGGTCTGCCGCCCTTTAAACTAAGCCTACCTTGCAAAAGGTAGGATTCCAGAGTAACTAGTTGATGATACAGGTAGTCCTCAACTTATAACAGTTCACTTAGGGACCGTTCAGTTCCAATGGCACTGAAAAAAGTGACTTATGATTGTTTTTCACACTTAAAACCTTTGCAGCATCCCCACGACCATGTGATAAAAATTCAGATGCTTGGCAACTGACTCATATTTACGACGGTTGCTGTGTCCGTGGGATCATGTGATCATCTTTTGTGACCTTCTGACAAGCAAAATCAATGGGGAAGCCAGATTCACTTAACAACTGATTCACTTAACAATGTTATTAACAACTGCAGTGATTCACTTACCAACTGAGGCAAGAAACATTGGGAAACGGGACAAAACTCAATTGAGGAATGGATCATTTAACAACAGAAATTTTGTGCTCAGTTGTGGTCATAAGTCAAGGACGACCTGTGGTTAGCTGTAAAGAAGTTTTGTTTTATTCATAATAGGTGTGCCTAGTTTGTGATTGCAGTTGGTTTTATCGAATTTTAGTTTACTAAACAACATCTAGATCCCTTTTCCCTATTTCCTGTTAGTCCCAGCTCCCCGGGTACAACTGGAAGGATGAATAGATGGAGAAACACGCAGAGTGAGGGCTCAGCAACTTTATACAAAAAGTGTTTCTTCACTCTGGAATAGTGTTTCTCAAATTTAGCAACTTTAAGCTCCATGGATTTCCCAAAATTCCCCAGCCAGTCATGCTGGCTGGGAAATACTGGGAATTGAAGTCCCCATAGCTTAAAAAATACTGGGGTTGAGAAACGCTGCTTTGGAAGAAACTCATGTTTCTTCCACTATAATGCAATATGTGAATGAGAAATATGTAATTTTACTGAACACACATTGTGTTTTGATTATAGATTTCAACTTGACTACAGTATAGGTCAGTGTTGGCGAACTTTTTCAGCACCAAGTACTGAAATGGGAGTGCATGCACGCGTGCTGGAAACCAGAAGAGCAGCCGCCCGGGGCACATGCGCGCCCGGGAGGCTGCTTTTCTGGTTTCCAGCACATGCATGCCACCAGCCACCTGGTCTTTCCATTTCTGGCACGCATGTGCATACAAAGACCAGCTGTCCGGTGCACATGTGCGCCCCGGGAAGATGATCTTGTGGTTTCCGGCACATGCATGCGCACAGGCCAGCTGGTCTTTGCACACACATGGGCTCCAGAAACTGGAAAATCAGATGGCCATTGTGCATGTGCACGCCAAAAACTGGAAGAGCAGCTGCCCTTCCGGTTTCTGGCTCTCCTACGTATGCGAAGACCAGCTGCCCGGAGCACTGGAACCCGGAAGAGCAATGAGCGATGGCTCATGTGCCCGGAGAGATGGCTCTGCATGCCACTTCCAGCTCATGTGCCATATGTTTGCCACAGATAGTCCTCAACTTACAACCATAAGGGGGTCATGTGATCACCTTTGCTAACCTCCTCAGTTGGCTTCCCACAAGCAATTGATTGGGGGGGGAGCCAGATTCGCTTAACAACTGCATGATTCACTTAACAACTCTGGCAAAAAAGGTCATAAAATGGAGCAGAATTCACTTCACAACTGTCTTGCTCAGCAATTGAAATTTTGGGCTGAAGTGCGGTCATAAATTGAGGACTACCTGTATGTGATATTTAGGGAGACACCTCTTGGGGATCATATGACTTCATAAAGTCTAAACCAGTGAGGGCTAACCTTTTTCTCCTATTGTGCCGAAATTGCACCCCCTGCGGCCCATTTTGGGCCTAGCAGGCCTCCCTGAAGCCTCCTGAAACTAAAACGGGATGCGGAAGGGCACCGCAGCCCCCTGTGGCCCGTTTTGGGCATAGCGGGTCTTTCTGAAGCCTCCTGAAACTAAAACGGGATGCGGGAGGGCACCGCAACCCCCTGTGGCCCGTTTTGGGCCTAGCAGGCCTTTCTGAAGCCTCCTGAAACTAAAATGGGATGTGGGAGCACACCGCTGCCCCCCGCAGCCTGTTTTGGGCCTAGTAGGCCTTTCTGAAGCCTCCTGGGGGTGGCTCACACGATCCTCTCACTCCTCATTCATGTGCACGTGTCTCCCACATGTGCAGCAGAGACCCGAAAATCAGCTGGCTGGTGGGAGGCATGAGTGGTGGAGCTGAGATGGGCGACGGCTTGCATGCCCACAGAAAGGGCTCTGCGGGCCACCTGTGGCAGGAGTACTATAGGTTCACCATCACGGGTCTAAATCCTCCATGGAGTTGGAGAAAGAAAGAGATTGACTGAAAGAGACAATTAAAGGGCACAGCAAAAAACAAACCCGTCTCTCCTCCCCTCTTGCCCTATAACTGTGATGACAAACCTATGGCGCACATGCCCAAAATGGCACGTGAAGCCATGTCACCCAGCACGCATGGCCTTGCCTGTTTGTCTTCTGGCTTTCTGGCACGCATGCACACGTGATGATCAGCGGTCCTTCGGCATGTGGCAGTGCCGAACACTAGTATGCACCTGCACACCAGCCAGCTGATTGGTCAGGCATACATGCACACTAGAACCTGGAAGTTGGGCTTTTCCAGAGCATGATCCGTTCACATGCGCAGCAAAGCTGGCTGAGGAACTCTGGGAATTGAAATCCGCAAGTGTTAAAGTTGCCAAGGTTGGAGACCCCTGATTTAGATCCTGGGAAATAGAGTTTATGGAAGGAGATCAGAGATGGGCCGCCTGCTGAGACCCCATTCCCTCTTTCCCTTCCACGTTTGCCCAAGAATCACGGGCTACCTTCTCTCCAGAAGGTACACAGGTACTCCTTGACTTACGACCATTTTTAGCTATCATTTGAAGTTACGACGATGTTGAAAAAACCTGACTTCCGACTGTTCCTTGCAATTACGACCGTCACAGCATCCATGCAGTTGCCATCTGGGTGCTTAGCTTGCACTTATGACAGTTGTGGCATTCGGCAGCCACGTGATCCCAGCTTGGGATCTTCCCAGCAGATTTCCAACTTAAGCAAAGTCAGTGGAAAAGCTGGCAGGGAAGGTCACAAGTCAGGTGGTTCGGTGTCTTCCTTAATGCCCACGGTGATTCACTTAACGACCCTGGCAGAAAAAGATTTTTTTAAATGCCAGGTGGAGCCACGTGGTGTTTCAGTTAACATTCATGCAGCCTCGCTTAATGACAAATTTTCTTGTTCCAAGTGTGGTCATAAGTAGAGGCAGTTTTAACTATTTGATTGCATCCATGTGCTCTGGATGGGCTGCCTTTGAAGAACACCCAGAAGTTGATGCTGGTGCAGATGCAGTTCCCCATCTGCATTTGCATTATCCTTACCTGTTCCACAGACATTGCACAGGCTTTTGACAGG